CCAAACCAGTTTCAGCCATCCTACACTGCCACTCACAAGAAGTCAGTATGAGGTAAATTATGGCTACATTTCGGAAGAAGAAGAGAAGACGGTTTACTGAAAGCCCTTTTGCTTATTTCATTATCGGGGAGAGTTCTCGCGAAAACACTGTTTAAAAAAACGGTCAAAAAGGTTCTGGTTAATTACGGAACAAATCCATAGGGCAAAATTTGAGATTGTAGAGTCACAGTTACAATGAAAAACAGTTAATACTTCAATTCCTGTTACTATCGGAGACGTTTTTCATTGCAGCGGAATAGTAACTAATCCAGTTGATTTCATAGGCTATCATACGAATATAGTGGTGGTTATGTCGCAATATCGAAAGATTAGAGCAGTGTAGTGCACAAGTATACTACTCGATGACCCATATGTAAAAACGGGAACTCTGCGACAGTTATTGCAAGCTAATGATGACAGACACTCAACTTTTTCTTCCCTCTAAACTAAACAAACAGTAACTGGACCAAATGTTTTTCTAACTTCAAAATGTGTGGTACATTTTCGATTTATCATGCTCATCTCTTTCACTCTCAGCAAGATTTTATAGTCCAGAAATTGTACTCTGAAATTATTTCACATGAATTTATCTTGAATCGATAATTGAAAACATCGAAGGAATAGAAGTTTGTCTAAATGGTGTTAATCTCAGACACTGTGATGCATGAAATTTCGGGGAAGATAAACCATTGCAATGAAGTACGTTGATAAAATCTTTAGTTTGCTCATCGAAAGACAACTAGGGTGATTGCTAAGATCGTGTGATTTTAACATCAAAAGCTTCAGTTGGTTTAACTCAGTAAAGTGTAAATGAATAACACAGCATGAATGCATCCAAATGCGTAGAAGGATAAAAGTTTTGTGGTACATTAGACCTCTCTTTTCGGTGTCATTGATACGACTGCCGTTTTTACTTTATTATTCTAACTGGAAGAATGGACAAATATACTGAAGGTTGTCCACAAAAATGAGAAAACTATTGATATCTTCCTTTGTGCAGATAACAGAAATCGATCACTGAAGAAAATGGTCCCTGATCAGATGGTTAAAAGTCTATTTCAGAAGCCTAAATGTATGTGTTCTCATCAATTAAAGAGATACTAATTTGTTATTCGGTGCAATATAAAGTAGTCTCACATGACATTTTAAGTCAAAGAAAATTCACAGAGGAATCGGAGACCTTTAGTGAAGAGAAACGTTGCCCATAATAATGTGGCCTAAAAAACCTACTGAAAGAGACGACAAATCAGTCAGAAGCGAGGTAGTTCGCATGCATTAGATTTATCGAACTATGCCTTGGAACTAAACGTGTGCTGCGGATTGATAATGATGGGCGAGAAATTTATGAGTAAGGAAGTAAATTAAGCATCGATGGAACAGTTCAGACAGCTCAAGCATGCCCCAATTTGTTTTGAATACTGTTTGATTTGAGGGAAAAAACGCTACCTATGGCTTCCCACAAAAATGGAATGACATTGCAGATATTCTAATACGTATTTTGGAAGAGATCGGAGTTTACTACATTTCATTTATTGCCTGCGTAATATGATGGAAGAGACAAAGCGTTTTTCAAATATTGGCTAAAATACCACGAAGAAGAACATGATCGAAAACCGTAGTTGAATGTTAACCGCCCAAGAGAGATTTGTGCTATAATGTGTGACTACATTCACGGACATGATTATTTTTGATCCCCGGGCAACATTACCTTGAAGAAAGTAAACAATTTATCACTATGTGAATCAAAATTGAATCAAATTGAATTGCTGGGGCTGATAAAACAAAGAAAGTTGCAGTTCCTGGGCTTTAAACTAAACCTAATTGAAGCTGTAAAGGTGCCGCAAAAGTGGTCAAAAACGAAACTGGAGTAACCATCAAATGCTCCACAGGGATAAATTAGTGAATGTGGAAGCACATTTTCCCCGTAACAAGTTTCAATTGAGAAGCCAAAATGTAGGTTTGTGCAATATATACTGAATCATTTCGCTTCTTCAGTACACACGCATACTGCACTCTTACTCCGCATATGATTCTGTTATTTCTGGTCATATATTGCTCACTTTGAACTGTGGCATACACGGGTGCGGAAGCAGTGAAAAGATCCGAGACACCTCTTGCAAACCAGTGTTTTTGGCTTCTCTATTCACAATAGTCAACGTTAGAAAAGAACGAAATTTCTCCATTTCTCCGACATAACAATGTAAACATGAACTGGGTAGTTTTGGTTTTATATTCAATCGTGACCCCTATGTGATAATTCATTGTTGACCGGAAACTGAAACATGACCGGAATGCCTAATTTCGACCAATCTAGTGAAATCATTAATTACACATCTGCGAAAGTTAACAGACATCACCAGCATTGAAGGTGCAGTCTACCAATCCGACTGGAGTGGTTGTACAAGAGTTCGACTACCGAGGTTGAGTGCATGTGAACCTGTCAGCTGTGTTGTTGGATGCGTATACTTGAAATTTCAATCTAAAGTTTAACAGCAGCCTACGTGAGTATACGCGTCCGCACTCACGAATACATAAACACACCCAGTCTGGAAATATTGGAATATGGTGGACGCAAAGCGCATTCATGAAAGCAGAAGAAAACAGTAAAGCAGATACACATTGAATACCGGTGATGAAAACAAGACAATTGGCGAAGAATCAGAGAAATCAGAATGCATTTTCCAGTTTCATAAAGCAGAAAATATGACCATGCGCTTTTCTTTAGATGTTGGAAATTCCGGATTTCATTACAGGGGGCAAATTCCGAAACCTATGTAATTGTGGCAACAAGCCTGATTTGTTTAGCTTTGAAACATGATAAACGTGAGAAAGAATATTTTCCACCCATATTGTGAGAATTAATGCGGCATGTTGTTTGTTGTGAGTTCAGTTAACCTGTAAACTAGAATCCAAAAAAAGTACGCAAGATGTGGAGGGAATGAAGTAGGATGTTGCGATTGCACCCTGTGTGTGGTGGTGGTCTCGTATTCAAAGAGTGTTCTTGAAGTGATCGATCAATTGATTCCTGGCGAACAAGAGTGTTTATGTTTGTTTAGTTTTGATACAACCCTTATTTAAAGCTGTGTCAAAGAAATGTTTGATTTCCATCGCAGGTGAAATAAGAGGAAGTAGGGTTTTGAAAACGGAAACTATGGTTACGTTATTTGACGAGATCGTGACAATTTATTCAAATGCTTTATGACACTAAGTTGTTTGCTGTTGAGAATTGTCTCCCACAGATTTTATCGGCATTGTGTGGTGGATGGGTGGAACAAAAAATACCGGTGTTAAAGAATTCCACTAAAGGTTGTATGTGCCTCCGAGTTCATTTATGTGCAACTTACATCTAATACGCTATTCGTGATTTTCGCGAACAATCCAAACCTGAATTTCGTTTCGGAATAAACCAAGCATTTGTTCGTTAACAATCAAAACTATCAAACGTTTTCGCTGATCTTCCGGAAAAGAGTGAAATGAATATGGATCATTCAGTTGTACAAGAAGGATCGACCACCATTCAGAGTTTATCCGAACGTTGGAACGCATTGAACTATGCAACGGGGCCACAATTGTATGCACACGTTTTTCATCAGGTTTTTGAAATTTTATACAAGATTTGCCAGCACGGTTTGGCCATCAACTTATGTGAAGAAATGTGCTTGTATTATAGAAGGATGTGCGTTGGTGAACCGTGTAGATTTGTACATGATGGAACGTAATTGCGTTTGTTTCCTAGAACATGATAGTGGTAAGTATAAAGAGGATTAGAATAGAATTAGGGAGTTGCTCCGCCTAAACTAACCAGAGAGAGAAAGTGAATTTCTATTACATATACAAGAGGTTTTCCAACGTCGCCTTTTTGGATACCGTTATCGCTCCCATAAGAAGTTAATTTCACAGCGAGAGAATAAGTAATTCCTTAAAATCTTTCTGTAGTTCTTCACTTGGCAATAATTTATATCTGTTGTCTTGATATAGTAACTCCTTGTAAGGTACACGGCTTCGTATTCCCAGATCTTCGAGAACAGTCTGGCAGCTCTCTCTCCACCGTCTTTAAAGCGAACCGGGGCAAATCGTCTAATCCGGACAACTTGTGGCCTTCCAGGGCTTAGACTTCCTTTCGGATCTTCGCTTCTGTGAGCCATCCCG